AAGAATATAAGTCTTGATTTGATTTTGTGCAATTCAAATGGAATAAAATCACAACTTATATTAGATCATCATATGCACTTAGCCTTTGCCCTTCTTAAGGGAGGAGGAATTTTGACAAAGATGGATGCCTCCTTAAACCCCAGATTTATTTATCAAAGAAATGTTTCATTGTGGTTACTTATTTTAGTTTTAGAATATCAAGTTACTAAAGATATAATTCTTCACAAAGGCCTGACTCTGAGATCACATAACCTCAACAAATAGTGGAGCTAATTTTAATGAAGTAGCTTGAGCAAAGAATCTGATAGCAGTAACTGAGCTTTATAATTAAGGATAACAATAGTTTATAAGGCTTGACAAGAAATGCAGAATCAGCTCTGTAATTACAGTTTTGCCGAAGCAAATAGTGCTTTAGTTTCTTTGGGCAGGAGTTCTACTCGCTGTCTGTGCACAGAACAGGTACCATTCCTCCAGAGTTCTATTTTTAGCCCTTTGCCATTTTTTCTCTCCTGTGATCTTGGGGAGATGGTTAGAAGGCTAACCCAGTTCTCCCTGAAGTCAGTAAAATCCTTTTTACTGTTTTCAGTAGGAGATGGATCAGGCTTTGAACTTTGTCTCAACTTCCCAGCAGGAGTGCTGACACAGACATTTCATCATTGGTACTGGAGTCAAGTCACGACTCTAAAGAACATAAAGGAGATATCACATCAGAGAAAGCCTAATAAGTCTCCTAAACTTCAGCCTGCAGGCATAATGAGGGATTCATATCACTTGTCTTTAGTCAAGAATATCAGATCTATGCTAGTCCTCTTTCTCTCTCTAGTTGGTACTTCCTGGCCTTCAGAGATGCCATCTCTTCCTTGCCTTTTTCATGGTAAAACCCAGGTGACAAAGCTCTCTGAATCAGTACAAGGAACCTTTGCCTGGAACTGGCTTACACAGCCCCAGAACTTGGTCAATACAGACTAGTGCTGCCTTATTCCCCTTATCTCAGCCTCTACTTGGGAAGTGAGGTCTGGGGTATGTAGTTTGTGTTTAATGGGATCATGTACCTGATCACCTGCCCAGTTCCCACCTCTATGTTTATCCTGATGTTTACAACAAACATCTTTCTGTGGCTGATGGGAATGGCTCACTACACTTTGGAGAACTTGGAGACTGTTACCATGAAAATCCCTCAAATACAATAAACAGCTGTAAAATAGTATGCAGGGGCAGATTGTTCTGGAAAAAAATTGTCCAGATTAAGGGCATGAATTCTGCCCTGGACTATCACTAGACACAGTTATTTTCAATGTAATCAGCCTAAAAACATGCAGCAATAAACTACTTACATGTGCAGTTCCTAGCAAAAGATAAAAACTACATGGAATAATTTAATGTAAATGAACATGGGCCAAAACCAAAATGCTGTGTTAAATTGAATGATACCTTAGAAATGTGAGGAAGTTCACGAAGATGATAGATAGATAGGTAGATAGATAGGATTTGCTTGTCTTCGCAGGTTTCATGATTGAAATAGGTTATTATGCAAAGATTGGTCTACAAAGATTATTAAGAGATATAAGGTGGAAGTTGGTTTTTGTGCATGAAATGGTACAGAAGTGTGGAATGCCAGTCAGGAGTTCACTGAGAATTTCAAGGGTTTGCACATGACAGTTCTCTCAGGGGTTAAGGCAACCCTAAAATTTCAGAAAGCATGTAATTTTATAACTCATGGATTTTCTTTTTCTGCCAGATCTCAACTGGGAATCTGAGCTAACCTCTTCTGGATGGGGATGGTGGGACAAGGAGACAGTTCATGCTTTTCTTCATTGTAGAACTTAATTCTCTCTTGGATTCTCACCCTGGCTGATCCAGGGTTATGTCACAAAAAAAAAGTATAAAGTGCTTCCAACAAATAAACTAAGGGTCTGTACCCCAAAGAGATTGCTATTACGAGAGCAAGCTCAGGATGAAAATGTAGGGAGCAGGGAAGCAGTGCAGCATTGTAGCACCAACCAGGATGAAGCTCTCAGCCTCAACAGCACTTTGGTTCAATGCCTGTGGAGAAATAGATGTACATGAAAATATTTGATATGTGTAACAACATCTGGTGTGATTTATGTGCACTTTAAGCAAACAAACAGAAGAGAAGTAGAGCAAGCCCTCAGCAAATGAGTAACCTCTGGCTTATTTGGCCTGTGCTGTGTGTACATCTCGACAGCTGATGAGGGAGGACAGTCCTTTCATGAGCACATCAAGCTCAGGAGTTCAAGGCAAGGGTGGCTAGCTCCCAAATGTGGCTGCTTATCTGAAATGTATCTAAATCTCTTAAATCTGCAACAGTGAGCTGGAAATCTCTCAGCACCTTCCTTCTAGAATGGCAGGAATAGAACCATTAGTTGTTTTTCCTATCGTAAACTGCACCTGTTTTAAAATCCAGACACTTACCTGTGACCTCAGTGGACAAAGATAGAAAAAGAGGGTGAAGAAAAATGTCTCCATACTCAAAATGTGCTGTGTTCAAGCCTTTTGTGCATGACACATTTATACAAACACATCCAAAATGAGGTATGCATTCTTCAGGGAAGCATCCCTGTATGCTGACAGTGCCTGTCACAGCCCAGGGAAAACACTGAGTGTGGCCCCTTCCACACCCAGTCAGCTTCCCTTCAGAAAATCCCCTTTGCCTTTGGAGAAACTTGTGCAATGCAAATGGGCTGCTACATCTTTTTTTTGTCTGTGCAGTGAGGCCAGAGCCTCTGTTGAGGCCAGTCTGCATTCTTTCTCCCCCAAAGTCTAGGGTCCAGCCTCCATGCTTTTCACCAGTGTATTTACATCTGGTCATTGTATCTGTGAATTCATCTCCTCCACAGGTAACTTGACATAGCACATGTTGGAGTCAGTAAACTGTGTGGCTTTCAGCAGAGATGGACTTAAATGTCTCAGGGACAAATGAAGAAAATCTGTGTCCATACTGTATTCCAACAAAACTGTTTTGTGTCCCAAATCTGTGCCACAAGGAGAGAGGGAAGGCATTTACAAGAATACTAAATAATACATATAAGAGCAGGAACAGTCTTGTGCTCAGGGAGCTGGACTGGTGTGTGAGTTGTTGTAGTGGTAATGTGTGAAAAACACTGGTGTGGACTAGACTTTGAAAAAATTGTGCTAGCTTTGGCATCTGCTCCAAATACTATTGGAAGACAATCATTCAGAAAGGATACTGTTAAGTGAAACTGGACCCTCATTCAGATCACATTAAATGGAACATTTTTTACAAACTCTCAGCTAAAGAGGTTTCCAAAAAATGATTATTAAAACATAAAATTTTGCTGCTGTTAACAGCCTAACCATTATAGCAGTAGCCTGAAAGTGAGGGAATAAAAATTTACTATTGGTAACAAAACTGTCTCAAATATGCTCTTCACAGTCCAAAAGGAGAAATGCAAATACCGGATATTTATAGTCAGCCCTCAGAAACTGGGAAAATGAACAGTGAATGAGATGTTTTCTTTAGGCTTTTTTATAACTGGAAATATTTTCCTCCATTAAACACTTGGAGGTCAGTGCTCCATCTCTGTACTGAACATTTTCTCAAACAACAACTGTTGACTGCAGCAGGATATTATCTAAGTATGAACAACAGGGCTTGATCCATGGCTTTTATTTTTGACAGTGTTTGTGTAATGTCAGAAATACGTGTGCGCCCACTGTGTTAGAGGTATTTTGTGTATATACACCAAGTTAATGCATTTTTAAACTGAGGAGGATTTTGACAAGGAAGGTGCTACAATTCTACTATTGAAGCAGAAGTTAAAATTCCCGGTGAGAGTAGCCTCAAGCCAATGCTAAGCAGTTCCAAAGATCTAGCCAAGTAATGGAAACACCCTGAAGCTGATATCTTTGTCTCTCCTTATTTTTGTTAAGTGTTGAATACCAAAAAGCCATTGGCCTTATCTTGAGTGAAGAAAACTTTTATATGACAGCAAGGTAGTTTACCCTTGTTTACCTAAACAGTTTACCCTGTTTAGTTTACCCAAGCTGACTAAGGCATAGCTCCATGGTTCTGGAGAAGATGGTTGCACTCACTTTCCATTTTTCCTGTTATTCATGAGACTCTGTGCTGTTTTAGTTGAGTGGTGTTTTCCAGACATGTGAAAAAGAGAGAGAAAGAATGGGCAGGTAGCTTGAAACCTGAGGCAAGCTGGATGGATTTCTCCTTTCTTACTTGACAGTCTGGCATATCTTGGGTACATTAATTTGCTTCTGGGTTCTTCTGTTCCTTCTCTGTGAAGCAGGAGTCCTACACCTCATATCATTAAGGCCATGGCTGTGGGGTAAATCTATTCAGGATAATGCAGTGTTCAAATTCTTGTGTAATGCAGGGCAGGTACATGCCCTGGGCAAACTGGAACTGAGCATTGCATACTGGCAGCTGCAAGCAAATCACATGGACTCACTCCATCTGGAAACATGATGCAGAACAGTAGACAAGACGAAAAAACCCTAGAAGGAGCTTGAAGACATGGTCTGTCTCACAAAAGCCAGTGAAAGGCAAATGTTTCTTGGGGCTGAGACATCTCTGGCTAACATGATTACACAGTGTAATGTGAGAGCAGTTGGGAGGCCATTGCAGTGAGCTGGTGGCTGAGTGTCACGTGAGGCACTGTAGCCTTCTGAGCTGGTGAGTCCCCCTTGCTTCATGCCATTATCTTTGAGAAATTGCAGGGAACTTGGAAAAAAAACAAATGGGAAGTCCTATTGCCGTGCCTGGCAGGATTGGGTTGAGGTGGTGTGTTTCAAATAAGAAATAATTTCATGTGTACTCAGCATTAGTCTATGTGGCTTTATATGTTCTCCTTTCACAGATGGCAATGCCACCAAGAAGTATTGTTATTGTTTTAAAACTCTGGTAATACTTGCTTTCATGCCATAAGGATAAACAGCCTCTTTCAGGGGTTTACTTGCCACAGTTGTATTACTCATACTGTGTTTCTTGCTTTGTTTGCTGGTAGAATACATACACCAATGCAGACAAGCTCTTGGAGGCTGCAGAGCAGTTGGCTCAGACTGGGGAATGTGACCCTGAAGAGATCTATAAAGCAGCCCGGCATCTGGAAGTTCGGATTCAGGACTTTGTCCGGAGGGTGGAACAGAGGAAACTTCTCTTGGACATGTCAGTCTCCTTCCATACCCACACCAAAGAGGTAAGAGGTGCATGAGGGATTTTTGCTGTGTATTGTAGAGGGCTGCAAGAGGCTGTCTTTGAAAACTCAGATAACAGAGAAAAGGCATTTTCACCACACTGGGTTGATATTATCCAGTTCATTTATGCATATGAATAACTGTTGTAAAGAGGAAATAAAACGTGAAACATATGAATGTTACAGTACACTGAAATATAGCAACACCATCTCAAGTGGTGCTTAATCACAACTAGAATGTATTGTTAGAAAGCAAGAATTCTCTTGTAAGAACGTGAGTTGATATTAACACTTTAAGTAAAAACATGCCAGCAGCATGATCCTCTGAGGATTCTATTTAAATGTACTGTTAATTAATGTATCTAATATCATTATGTGTTACTAGAAATCTTATATTGTTTAATGAGGCAGACTTCAAAACAACTGCTAAAGAAAAAACAGCCACATACTCATACAGTGAATCAGTGAGGATCTGAATAAATGCTGTTTAGTGTAATTGAAAAATATCCAGAGATAAGACTGACTTGCCAGAGGAGATACAGTGGACAGGACATCAAATGGGAGGCCACTGGGGATGTAATTAAAGCATACTTCACATTTTCTGCAGTCCAAAGGCCATTCAGTGGTGAGTGACTTTTAAAGATAGGGTTTCTGCTGAGAAAGATGGAATTAGTCAGGATGGTTGTTTTCATGCTCTGCAGCATCTGCTTGTGAAAGCACACTTGATCAGGAAGATACTCTGAGAAGCTGAAAGCTTTGTCTCTGCTTGTTAATTTACATGTTCCAAACAAGAGGCATATATCAGGCTTCAGGGTGTAGGGGAGCCCCTGAAGTAGAAGGTACATGCATACATTTATTCATATGTGTATGGAAGATGGACTTTACAGTTATAGCTGTTGCTACATAAAGGTTTTTCTTTTAAATCCTGCTTCTGCAGTATACTAAAATATAGTTAATTCTCAGCTTGTTCTTCTCAGAGTTGCTGAAACACTTGCAGCTATGCTGGTTTGTCACTGGGGAAACTTAATTGGTTATTTCCTCTGTAAAAATGATTTCAGAACAGTTTCCTGCTGTGATTAACCTTGATTCACCTATGCAGGTGATGACGAGTAAAAAATAAGATAGTTAGTGGTATTGTGTAGCCTAATGTGGCTTTGGGAAATAAAGCCTCCCTGTATGAAGGAATTGGGATTGCAGTGCATTATACTCCTGTTCTTCTTCAACAAGAAGGGAGTTTGCCTGCTCTACACACCTGGTTTTAATGAGCTCTGTTTTGGTGAATAAAAATGCAGATGTATTAAAAATTAACATTTTTAAAAAATTATTTTTAAAAACTGTCTTCTGTGCTAACATCAATGCTGTTCTCTAGACGTTAAGAGTAAATGCTAAGTATTTGCCTAATTAATGTTTTCCTGTGAGACAGATTGGTTCTGTCATGTGCTTCAGTAGTCAATTCATGTCATTTTTAAGGAGATCCAGAGTGGACAGACTCTCAGTGCCGCTCTCCTGTAAAAGTCCCTTCTAAACCAAACTATTCTATGATTCTGTGACTCCCTCTCCAGAGGGACAGTCAAGGGAGCTGTAGCATTGCTGGGACAGCAGCAAAATCAGGGTGGACACAGGAACCCACGTCCATCATAATGAAGGACAGCCACTGGGTTGGGTTGATAAAGTTGTTCAGTCTCCACGAGTTCCCCAAAGTCTGACCATGCCCAGGAGCTCTGCAAGGGGAAGTCTTTGTTTATTTACCCCATGTTAATTCACTCCTGTAGGGGCCAAACACTGATTTTCTGCAGGGTCAGTGGTTTTCACTGTGCGTCACCACCTGGCTCCTTCAGTGACGTGTTTCTGCACTGGTGAAACCCACACAGCTCAATATCTGAGGGGTTTTTGCCAAAACTATTAAGTGAGGAAGTTGCTGCAGACAGGATTCAATTCCAAGATTTAGTTTTTGTCTGCCAGCTGTGGGAATCCCCACAGACACAGTGAAATAACAAAAGACTGCCTGGGGGGAATTGGTGTAAAGGGTAAAGCATTACAACAGGAGAGCCTTAGCATGTGTTTGTATCTTCATTTGCCTTTTTATGCTATAAATAGATTGGCTTAGGTAGAAATTAGTCATTGCTTGGCTTTGCTTGGCCCTTCTTGTGTATTGTAAAATGGAAAGTTAACCAATGTAATTGTCATTCTTCAATATGAGCAATAAAACAGGTAAATTTAAATAGTAACAGATAAATTTAAATCACAGCAGATGTCAAAGCAAAGAATCCTTTTGCTGCATCAGCAATAAAATAGTGGGAGATCTGTGGTCCATTCTTGGTGTTTACCAGGAGCCGTTCCAGTCCTGGTGCTCACACAGCCCTCCCTTGCCCTCCTACCTGCCATGCTGGCCTGAGGCTGGAAGTGCTGTGACCACCCAAACCCATCACCTGGGAGTGTCTTGGAGTGAGGAGAAGTAGTTTGGTTGCCATGTTAATGTGTTTAACACCTGAAATATTTTGCAATATTCTAGAAGATGTTATCACTTACTTAATAATACCCACCATTATTAACTTCATCCTTTGTAGTTTTTAAAACTATTTCTTAAACTATGAACAGCTCTTTCTCTTATGTCCTTGAAATAAAAAAATTCCCTTCATATTTTTTTGACCCTGATGCAGGAAATGATGGCCTAGATGCATTTGTCATCTAAGCTTCACAAATTCTCATTATTTCATGTTGTATTAATCTATTGAGACACAAATGGTGAAAGAGTAAATTAAGTAGAAAAAATTGGTCTTACTGATACTTTTCCTTTTTTTGGAAATATTCTGAAGATCTTCCCAATGAGCATGTTTCTTCTGACAGTCTTCCTAGCACAGGTGAATTGTGTTTCTGATGTGGTAATTCCCAAGTGTGGATGAGTTCATTGACTGTGAACTTCTCCTTCACCTGTACTCTGCCCACCTCTTCATCTCCACATGCAACTGCTCAGATTCTCACCATCTGAGAAACTTTTAACTGCTACTACTTTTTTTATTCTTGTCAAAGTAATGTTTCCTTTTGTAGTCAGTCTTCCTTGTATTTTCTTCAGGACAATCGGTAGTGTTGAATTAGGGAGTCATTTAAATGTAGATATCCCCATGGGTAATGTAAGTCCAGAGTGGTTTTTTATACTACAGTAGACTTGAATCACTGCTTATTTCATGTGAAAGCATTAAAGAAGGTCCCTTCTGCTAAAAACTGACTCATACAGTTCCAGGAATATCAAAACCACAGTCAATTAAGCATAACAATAATTTTGATGGGTTTTTTAAGTGACCTTATTGAACAATACATACTGAAATGGCTGAAATGAGGACTTTTTTGGTGTGGTAATAACACTTTAGAGGCATAAATTGGAAGCAGTCCTTTAAGTGATTGTTGGGGGCATAATTCTTGAGTAATGGTGTCCTATTGCCATGTCTGTAAGTAAACAAGATTTTGTGTGTCCCACTGTCCTATAGCATTCCTTATGCTTTTCTAGTTTGTAGTGAATATTTTTGTACCCTTCTGGACCAAGGCATTTCTGATGGTGTGAGCTGAAACCTGGTACCGTGGGAATGAAATCCAATTATCTGTGTGGCAGGGTAAAGTTATAAATTATTATCACTGGCATAAATGCATTCAACAGACTCATACCTGAATAATTTCTCTCAGGACTAAGTGTAATTGAATTTAGGTTGTTTCTTCAAATCTGAATCAATTATTGTCAGGATTGTCAGATCTTGCACTTGTATCACAAATCTCATGATAATTGATGTTCTTCTGTGAACTTTTGGCTTTAGGATCAAATGATGATAGAGGATTTTTGGCTGGCATTTGATTTTGTTTAAAAGATAATATTTTTTGAGCTTTCTGTAGAATAGGTTGCAGATGTCATAAAATTACACCCTGAAGACGCAAAACCCTCAAGGACAAAAGAAAAACATGCAATTCATTGTCTGAATCTTAATATTTTCATGTCTCACAGTTTTATACTTAAGGTTCTGCAGTGTATTTTACATTTCCAAGTATTAAAAGGTAGACAGAAAAGAGCACTGTGACCGCTTCTATATAATTAAAAATTTGTAAATCCTCTTGCATAGTTAAGTCATGACTTAGATTGTGTTACTTGTTGTATTGGCTGGTGATGCAGTTGCTAACTTCACAATGAGAAGGAACTTCACTGAATTTCGATCCATTTATAGTATATGGGGCCTTAACTAAACTATAAAACGGTTCTGCAATTGTTTCATGGTTTTTTGGGACATGAAAAGCATGTCTTACCACCTCTAGGTTTCTTGTTTCTCAATGGGCTTCAGATTACCAGTTCTGTGTTGAGTCCAGCCCAAAAAAAAATGGAGAGTCAGAGAAATGTGTTTTCAGATCGTGTGCTCTGTGCTTTGTTGTTCTTTAGTGGGTCAGAAGAGCAGGAGGACAAGGTGCACAGGGCAGGCACTTCCTTGTGGAACCTGCCATGCCTACCTGGCCCACAGAATGGGGGATGAGTATGCTCAGAAAATATTTAATGTTGAGAAAAAGGAACTGCCAGATTCCTAACATGTTACTATGAACATGTGCAAACTGGAACTTGGCAGAGGTCTTTTGAGTGACCAAATTTGGGAAAATGTTCACATGAATGACATAATGTGTATTCTTGACATCAAGGCTAAGCCCTGCAAAATTTCAAACCCTTGCTTAAAAGCATGGAGGGTCTGGAGCATCTCATTTGAACAGAAATAAAACTAACACAGGCAAAGTACCTTTTCTGTCCCTTTCTCTCATTCTGGCCCTTTCACCTCAAAATTCATCAAATTCAGCCTTAGGCAGGCACCTGGTATGGAAAGTTTCACTCTAAAAATCTTGTCTGATAAGGCCATGAGAAAGTGAGAGCTAAGTCCTGCACCATTAAGTGTCAGTCAGCTTCCTGTATTATAACCTATATCATTTGTGGTCAGTAGGTCACCTTGGTCACCCCACAGACATCAGTGGGGTTACTCAGC